CATCATCCAACTGAACCGTGCTGAAGTCCAAAACATGAGACGGATCCCCAACATACTTCCGGATCATAGAAACATGAAATACCGGATGCACACTCAACAAGCTGGGTGTCAAAACAAGCATATAAGCTACCTCCCCAATCCTTATAAGTACCTCAAAAGGCCCAATGAACCGTGGACTCAACTTTCCTTTCATTCCAAATCTCATATCCTTCATGGGCGAAACCTTCAGCAAGACTTTCTTACCAACCATGTAGGATACATCTCGAACCTTTCGGTCCGCATAACTCTTCTAAAGCGACTGCGCTGTACGAAGCCTCTCCGGAATCACCTTTACCTTTTCTAAGGAATCCTGAACCAAATTTGTCCCCAATAGCTTAGCCTCGCTGGGCTCTAACCAACCAACTAGAGATCTACACTGCTTCCCATACAAAGCCTCATACAGAGCCATCTGAATACTCGACGGGTAGCTGTTGTTGTAGGCAAGCTCTGAAAGCAGTAGAAAATTATCCCATGAACCTCCAAAATCAATAACACAAGCACGCAACATGTCCTCCAATATCTAAATAGTATGCTCGGACTGCCCGTCCGTCTGAGGATGAAAAGTTGTGGTCAACTCCACCTGAGTACCCAACTCTCGCTGAACAGACTTCCAAAACTAGGAAGTAAACTGAGTACCCCTATCTGAGATGATGGAAACTGGAACACATGCAACCGAACAATCTCCCGATATATATATGTGCTAACTGCTCTGATGAATAGGTAGTACACACAGGACTGAAGTGCACGGACTTGGTCAGCCGATCCACAATCACCGAAACAACATCAAACTTCTTCAAAGTCCGAGGAAGTCCAACCACAAAGTCCTCACATCCTCTCCCACTTCCACTCGGGAATAACCATCTGCTAAAGCAAGCCACCCGGTCTCTGATGCTCATATTTCACCTGTTGACAATTGAGACACTGAGCTACAAATCCCACAATATCTTTCTTCATTCTTCTCCACCAATGGTGCCGTCTCAAATCCTGATACATCTTCGCGGCACCCGGATGGATGGAATACCGCGAGCTATGAGCCTCCTCCAGAATCAACTCTCTAAGCCCATCCACATTGGGCCCACAAATCCGGCCTGCATCCTCAACACACCATCATCACTGATGGTCACATCTCTGGCATCGTCATGTTGAACTTTGTCCTTAAGGACAAGCAAATGCGGATCATTATACTGGCGCTCTCTGATGCGATCATATAAGGAAGACCGAGATACCACACAAGCCAACACCCGATTGGGCTCCGAAATATCCAACCTCACTTACCGATTGGCCAAGGCCTGAACATCAACTGCAAGGGGTTTCTCCCCAACTGGAATATACGCCAAACTCCCCATACTCACTGCCTTTCGGATCAAAGCATCGGCCACTACATTGGCATTTCCCGGATGATACAGAATAGTAATATCATAATCCTTAAGCAACTCTAGCGATCTCCGCTGCCTCAAATTAAGATCCTTCTGCTTGAACAAATGCTGAAGATTGCGATGATTAGTGAATACCTCACAAGATACGCCATACAAGTAATGCCTCCAAATATGCATGTACTATGGCAGCCAATTCCAAATTATGAACGGGGTAGTTCTTCTCATAGCGCTTCAACTGACGAGAAGCATAAGCGATAACTCTACCTTCCTACATCAATACACAACCAATCCCAACTCTAGAAGCGTCACAATATACGGTATATGAACCTGAAGCTAATGGCAAAACCAATACTGGAGTTGTGGTTAAAGCTGTGTTGAGCTTTCGAAAGCTCTCCTCACACTCATCCGACCATACAAATGGAGCACCCTTCTAAGTTAACTTGGTCAAGGGCAATGTAATGGATGAGAATCCCTGAACAAACCGGCGATAATAGCCTGCCAACCCAAGAAGGCTACGAATCTCTACGGCTGAGGACGGTCTAGGCCAACTCTGAACTTCCTCTATCTTCTTCGGATCAACCTGAATACCCTCGCTGGACACCACGTGTCCCAAGAAAGCCACTGAACTGAGCCAAAACTCACACTTGGAGAATTTTGCATAAAGCTTCTCCTCCCTCAATCTCTGCAATACAACTCGCAAATGCTCCGCGTGCTCCTCCTGACTACGTGAGTACACCAGAATATCATTAATGAATACAATAACGGACGAATCCAGATAAGGTCGAAATACACTGTTCATCAAATATATGAACGTTGTTGGGGCATTGGTCAGCCCGAAAGACATGACAAGAAACTCATAGTGACCATATCTAGTCCTGAAAGCAGTCTTAAGAATATCTAAATCCCTGATCTTCAACTGGTGATAGTCCGAACGGAGATCAATCTTAGAGAACACCCTCGCTCCCTGAAGCTGGTCAAATAAATCGTCAATGCGAGGCAAATGATACTTGTTCTTAATTGTTACCTTGTTCAATTGCCTGTAATCAATGCACATTCTCATTGTGCCATCCTTCTTATTCACAAACAGAACCGGCGCACCCCACGGTGACACACTAGGCCGAATAAACCCCTTATCTAGGAGTTCCTGAAGCTGTTCCTTCAATTCTTTCAACTCTGCTGGTGCCATATGATACGGAAAAATAGAAATGAGCTGAGTGCCCGGCACCAGGTCAATACCAAAATCAATATCCCTGTCCGGTGGCATGCCCGGCAGGTCTGTAGGAAACACATCGGGAAAATCCCTCACAACGGGAACAGAATCTATACTAGGAGTCTCAGCTCCAACATCCCTCACAAATGATAGATATGAAAGGCAATCCTTCCCAACCATACGCTGGGCCTTCAAGAAAGAGATAACTCTACTAGGAGCATAATCAGTCACGCCACGCCACTCGATCTGCGGTACACCTGGCATTGCCAAAGTGACTGTCTTAGCATGACACTCTAGAATAGCATGACATGGAGATAACCAATCCATGCCCAAAATAACATCAAATTCCACCATGCTCAATATCAATAGATCAACTCGGGTCTCCAAACCCCCAATAGTTACAACACATGACCGGTATACACGGTCCACAACCGGGGTAGACACATGAACAGGTAAAGCAAGAAACTCCCGGGATGTACCCAAATAATGAGAAAAATATGAGGACACATAAGAATAGGTGGAACCGGGATCAAATAATACAGAGGCATCTCTGTGGCAGACTGAAACAATACCTGTAATGACAGCATTTGAAGCAATAGCATCTGTCCTGCATGGAATAACATTGAAACGAGCCTAGCCACCGCCTGATCGACCTCCCCCTCTGGGGCGACCCCTAGCTTCCTGACCTCCACCCCTAGCTGGCTGGGCGGATGGTGAAGTAACTGGACCAGAAGTCGAGGGCTGACCCCTCTACTGTGACTAACCATCACGAAGTCGAGGGCACTACCTCCTCATATGTCCAAACTCTCCGCACTCATAACAACTACCCGGTGCTGGAGATGGGGACTGAAGGGAACCCCTCGCACTGGAGTGACTAGAAGATGCACTCGACGCAGAAGAACCCTGAGCTGATGGGGCACGAGATGAACTCTGAGCTGGGAGGGCACTGAATGAAGGCTGGCCCTGCTGAGATCCATGATGACCACGACCTGAAGATGCCCCACAATATCTGGACGGGCCGACTGAGCAGGCCTGAAAGAACGACCTCTTCCATGCTGGAACTGGCCCCTCGAAGGAACACAACTGTAACTGCCCGATCCTCGAGGCCTCTTGGCCTCCCTCTCCTCTTGCTCCCGACGGCGAACCGTCTCAATCTCACGAGCGATATCAACCACCTCCTAGAACGTAGCACCCAATACTCTCTCTAGTTATCAGAATACGGAGATGGTAGTTAAGGCCATCCACAAATCTCCTGATCCTCTCACGATCTGATGGAACCATCCAAATGGCATGACGAGCCAACTCAAAAAACCTCATCTCATACTGGGTCACGGTCATATTCCCTTGTGTCAACCACTCAAACTGCCTACGCAACTCCTCTCTGCGGAACTGCGGTACATACTTCTCCAAGAAGAGAGCGGAGAACTGCTGCCAAGAAAAAAGTGTTGCACCGACAGGCCTACGCCTCTCAAAATCCTCCCACCAAGTAAAGGCAACTCCAGAGAACTGAAAGGTGGTAAATGCCACACCACTAGACTCAAGAATCCCTGCTGTACGGAGCATCCGCTGACACTTGTCAAGAAAACCCTGGACATCCTCACCCTCAGCGCCACTGAACGACGGAGGCTGGAGCCTACCAAACCTCTTAAGATGATGATGCTCATCATCCGGCATGGCTGGTACTACGAACTCCTGAACTGGCTCTACCGGCTGAGCTGGAGGTGCCCCCGGCGTTTGTAGTCCCTGCACTACCTGCTCAGGTGTGCGAGCAACGGGGGTCTGATTGCCTCCCCCAACCTGTGAAGTAGCTGCTGCGGTAGTGGCTGAAACTGCCTGAGCCAAGCCAGTGCAAACCGATAAGATATGTGCCAAGGCCTCTTGAAGATCCGAAATCACGATGGGCACAGCTGGTGCCTGAACTGGTGCTGCTGGAGCCTGGTCCGAAGCTGGGGCAGCTGGTGGATCAACAAGTGCTTCCCTCGCTGCTCTGCCTCTGCCACGTCAACGACCGCCTCCACGGCCTCTGGTGGCCCCAGTGGGTGGCACTGGTGGTTGTCCACCTCATCCGGTATCTCGCGTACTCACCATCTGTGAGAGAATAGAATGATAGCAGTTTAGTTCTCGAATCAACAAAGTCGCATGACAGAATTTCAAAGATGTGATGTTTTTCCTAAAGGTTCCGCAGCCTCTCGAGGAAAAATACAAATGTCTCTGTACCGATCCGTGAGACTCTACTAAACCGGCTCATGACTTGCGAGACTTATGTAACCTAGGCTCTGATACCAACTTGTCACGACCTCAACCCCGGTCGTGATGACGCCCAATACACTGCTAGGCAAGCCTGACCAACTAACAACCTCGACCCATAAAACACAGATAACGAAGCATAAAGAAGCAGAAATGGGGAAACGGAGTGGTAACTCATGAGACGACTGGCCGGGTCGTCACAGAATGATTTCCTTGATAAGGCATTTGAACGAGTTTCCCAAATACTTCAAGGTTTGAAGTTCGCCATATTTTGTGTAGATATTTCATATTTTTACATTAACCTAACTTTACCAAATAGGGAAAATATGGCATTCCTGGTGCTGCAAAAAAGTGGGTTTTTGAGTCAATTCAGAATGCTTGGGGAAAGTATAAGAATCAATTATTTAACGACCATTATAAAGCCTATGAGAATGATGAGCTTCGAATGGAGAAAAGGCTGGTTGATGTTCCTGAATCTCAATTTAGGGATCTTCTTAATTATTGGAACTCTGATGCCTACAAGGTATAACTAAGTACTGTCCCATGATTTGCTGAGAATGTCTGGTTTATGTTTAATTAGAAATCACTTAACTCTGTATTCATTGGCTGATTTGCAGAAAATGTCCCAAACCAATACCGAGAATCGCAAAAAGTTAAAATATCCACACACTGCTGGTAAAAGAAGTTTTGCTCGAATATGCGAGTTTTGATATTTTCTTTCTTATTATTCTTTTAAATATGAACTTATTAAATTTATACCACTTTTTATATAATCAGGAGAAAAAGAAAGAAACTTCTGAGCCTCTATCAAGCAAGGACATCTTTGTGGCCACAAGAAAAAGAAAACCTGATCGAGTTTACAAGGCCTCGTATGCGAAAACGTTCAATGCACAAAAAGATGTCATGGAACTACAAGTTGCAGTTAACATCATTTCACAACTTAAGCATCTGAATCCAGATTTACGGGTTGATCCCAACATGCTAGGTTTCAATGCTCGTTCACCTGGAGAAGCTTCCTCTGCACAACAAGCTGTTGTGCAACTAATCAATCGCCTATCTACTGGGAGTAATAATCAGGGTCAGTACATCTATCTTTGTTTGTTTCTTGCTTTCTTCTTCTCCTCCTTCTTCTTCTTTTTTAAAGTTTCACGTAAACTTATTCGGAGTTGACTGTGTTATCTCAAATTAGCTATAACCTTTTATAAAGAGAATAATTGGCTTATAATATCAACACATGATGCTTCCTCTTTATCTTGGTTTTCCGTACAAATCCATCTATTGATTGGCAAAAGCAACACTACTATTTTATAGTAGCACCATATCTAGAGAAGTTCCCACTCAGATTCAGAATAAAGATTTGGAATTCATCTTCTTATTATTCTTGTCTATTCTTCTTGCCTGCATTTCTAGTTAGTGTACTTTCTTGATTTGGAATTTATAGCATTTTTGTGATGTTTGAATATTCCAAGTTTCTTGTTTTTGCTGATGATTCTTCTATTATATGACTACTATGTTTTCTTTCTATGTTTAAGATTCTGCAATGTATATTCACCATTTTTTGTATTCATTGCTTTATGTTAAGACTATTGGTCAGTTAAGACTATTGCTTTATGTTTCCTTTTTCTGTGTGCAACACTATTGTGGGTTGATGCTATAGCAATTGATGTAATTTTCACCACTTGCTGATATATTGGATTTCTATAGTTAGACAAGTTTGCTTCGAGGGATTGATGGTTCAAGCTGCCTAAATCAATTAATCAGTCAACTACGTTTCAATTACAAACTAGCTATGTCTTGTGGTCATGACTAGTGTTAAGTATAGATTTGCTTTGCTGTTTTGCTTTCCAACTCACTATTCTGTTTTGCATTTTGTATTTCTGTATATTTATCTCCTAATTGTTAAGTATAGATTTGCTTTGCTGACCAAGGAAAGGATTTTGCTCCTCTCATTTTAGTTCTGCAGTTTATTCTTTCCCTTTTGGTTTGGGTTGGGGGTGGGGGGTAGCTGGGCTATGTTTTGGTAAGTATCAAGAATTTAACTAATAGGCTACGTTTACTTTTTGGGACCATAATATAAAGGTATCTCGTAGAATTTCAGATATTCGGATAAGGAAATGTACAAAAATTGATGGTGCAACATGTGTAGTTTGTTAAAACAAAGTGCTTTTGTTTATCGTGAATATATGCTAGATTATTCTCATGTAGAGAACATAAGATCTCCTTTTCTCTTTGTCAGTTCAAACTACACCTTGAAAGTTTCAGTCAGCTATCAAGAGTTGTAGGCTGCTAGGATATATCTTAAATAACCTTGTTAAATTTCTTCTGTTGTTTCATGGATTTCTTAATACTATAGGGAGAGTTGATGATCAGCTTTCTCATTGAATTCCAACTCCAAGTTGGTTGCAGACATAAAACCTGGTGTGAGAGCTTTAATACTTAGTGTTTCATTCTTATTCCCTCATTCTTTTGAAACTCTTTTTATCTCATTCCTGATGTACATTTTTTGGTTACCTGCTTAATTTACATCCATGTTAACCAAATGCATTGCTTGTCTTCCTGAGTACTACTCTTTTCACTTTTTAACTTGGTTCCGTTTGTAAGTCCATATTCATGCTATTGTAAAATACCCTTTTGACTGGCATCTAATTGTTGTATATTTGGACTTCCTGTAATTCAAACATTTGAAAAAAAAAGGTCATGCTGACTTGTAGCAATTGTATAGGCTTTGCATATGTTCCACATGACACATTCTAGTACATTTGAAAACTTTGTGCTTTATGCATTGTTTATGGGCCATACCCATTCTTATAATGATAAACCAACTCTTGAAGGATAATGACTATATTTATCCTCTTTTGTAGGTGGAGCAATTGAAGAAAGGGAAGATGGAGATTGTGAAGATCTAGACCTTACTTAAGAACTTTGAATTGTTGTCCATGTTCTAGGAATCTTTTGTTATCAACGTTCAAAACTTACTCTAACTCTTGAAGTATTGAAATGTAAAACTTATGTGATTGGGTTAAATATTTTGGTTTTATGGAGACAATATAGATTATGAAGTGTTTTATCTTTTTATTTATATAAATTTCAGGTTATTACAAAATTTATATATCTAAATATTCATTTACAGCCAAGGTGTAATAGTCTAATAGAACCGTTCCAATACGTCTTGCAAATCGTTCCAATAGGTCGTCCAAACCGTTCCATTAGATCTTACAAATTGTTCTAAAATGTGCAACAAACTGATACAATAGGTAGTTAAAACCGTTACAGTAGCGTAATGAAACTGTTAGAATATTTGTAAATAAACGTTGCAATAGCTTGCATAACCGTTGCAACAAATTATATGGTAACGGCTGCCAACCGTTGTTGTAAACTCTATGGCAACAGTTTTTAACCGTTACAACTGGAAAGAAATACTCGTTGTTTCAGACAGAGGAACAACTATTGCGATAGATAGCCCTTACGCAACGGTTTCAATAATCGTTGCAAGAACCGTTACTCTAGATCTATTGGCATGGCAGCGTATGTAACGGTCGGTAATCCGTTCCAATAACTCTATGGCAACGGTTTACCTGTCTGTTGCAACGGTTTTCTGGCTGTTGCAATAGGCTCATTTTCCAGTAGTATGCTGGAAAGTCATCAGGTTATGTTGGCATCAACTAGGGAGTGGGACCCTATGTTAGAAAGTCATCAGGTTATGCTGGCATCAACTAGGGAATGGAGACCCTATGTCGGAAAATCATCAGGTTATGTTGGCATCAACTAGGGAATGGAGACCCTATGTCGGAAAATCATCAGGTTATGTTGGCATCAATTAGGGAGTGGAGACCCTATGTTGGCATTAACTAAGGAGTGGAGACCCTATGTTGGCATTAACTAGGGAGTGGTGATCCTATGTTGCATTAACTAGGGAGTGGTGACCCTATGTTCACATCATGTTATGCTGGCATCAGGTTATGCTGGCATCAACTAGGGAGTAGAGACCCTATATTGGCATCAACTAGGGAGTGGTGACCGTATGTTGGCATCAGGTTATGCTGATATCAACTAGGGAGTGGATACCCTACGTTGACATCAAGTTATGTTGGCCACAGGTTATGTTGGCATCAACTAGGGAGTGGAGACCCTATGTTGGCATCAACTAGAGAGTGGTAACCCTATGTTGGCATCAACTAGGGAGTGGAGACCCTATGTTGGCATCAACTAGAGAGTGGTAACCCTATGTTGGCATCAGGTTATGCTGGCATCAACTAGGGAGTGAAGACCTATGTTGGCATCAACTAGGGAGTGGTGACCCTATACTACCATAATTTTGAACTTTTCTTCTTTTATTTCTTTTCATTTCATTTTTTTCAACATTTTTTTATTTAATAAAATGAGTAAAAATGCACGAAAAAATTTGGAGGAGACTTCCCTTTTGAATTGATTATTGTTGTAGAGCTATTTTAGTCTTTACGTGGTTTCCTTTTGTTGCACCGACTTCTTGAAAGATTGCTTTGAATTACACCTATTTCCTGTTTTTCAAACAAAGAACAACTTGCCAGTTTGAAACGGTGGTTGGTTTTGTGGCCTTGATTATTTCAGCCACTTGATCTCGGCTCTTTCAAGTGCAACTGTTGCATCCTGAATACAGATTGCATTTGTGACCCTGAAGAACAACTGGTTTTTCCAGACTTTGCCATGACGGTTGGTTGGTGAGACTCTACCTTTTTGACTTTATTTTGCTTCTGTAGGCCTTTCCTTTTTGACTTATTGTTTTTCTTTTTTTTTTCTTTTTTATTTTTAACTTCATAGCATTGGAAACTTTTGACTCCTCAAACTTTGTTGCAACGGCTAGTCGCATGGGATTTAACCGTTTCTAACTTTATTTTGCCTTCATAGACCTTTCAATTCCGGCTTCTTTCTTCCAACTTCAATTTCAGAGCATTTGGGGTTTTTCAAACCTTTGTCGAGACGGTTAGCCACGTGGGACTCAACCTTTTCAACTTCATTTGACTTTATAGGCACTTCAATTTGATTTTCTCCGTCCAAGAGTTTTGATTTCGAAGCATCGGACGCCATGGGCAGTCGAGGTCGACTTGATGCCCCTGACGAGACTGGGTGCCTTTTTGCACATTAGCTCATGTCAAATGACAACCCTGTAAATCAGTCTTACCATCCTTTCTTTGTCTTAGTTTCGGAATAGAGTTAGACTGAAAGGGATTCAAAGAAAACAAACAATAGAATGAAGAATGAGTTTAAAATAAGAAGTGTCCCTTTCGGGGAAAGGAGGGAAGGACTAATCTGGAGTATATGCGGACTTCAAGGAACGTGACATGCCTTTTGGACTGGACGTCTGATCCGTGTAAACGGTCCAACTCTCAAAAATTCATCACAACCTTTGCCTTAAAATCGAGAAACCTTGCCAGGACTCTGTCGATGCCGATGGCTGTGAGGATCTTCTTTTCGATCAGTGGGGCCCTTTGCGGGTTTTCACTAGCTGACCACTCTCATTTCTCTTCTCACCATCGCCTTGTAGTGCTCTTTGCGAGTTTTCACTAACAAGACTCTATCATTTTAGTTTCTCTGCTTACCATCGCCTTACGGTGCCCGTGGGGGTTTTCACCAATAAGACTCTCTCATTTTATTTCTCTCATGTTTATTGTATCAGATCCAAGAGATTGTATCCTCCAATTCTTTAAACATTCTCGCCGATTGATCGGAAGGACTTGGAAAAGATTTGGGTAAAAAGAATTTGGACAGAATTACAACTTTGGAACCCTTCAGGCGAAACCATCGCCGAACCATTATAACATCTACCCCAGTTTCACTTTTGGAGGAATTTGGATTTTTGTTTTGCTATGACTGAACCCTAGAGAGAGGCTGCCTACATATCCTTTCAGAATCAAGTCGAACGTAGTTCAGGGATCTTTGTTTTTGATTTTCTTCTGTTTTTCTGTTTTGTTTTGTTTTCTTTTTCTTTTTTCCTTTCCTTTCTCACTTCCCCTTTCTTTTCATTTTCTTTTTTCCCTTTTATTCATTTTTGTATTTTTCTTTTTGTTCTCTTTTCATTTTTTTCCATTTTTCATTCATCATTTTTTCTCAATAATAACTTTCAAGTTCCAAAGAGAGTAATCAAAGAATGGGAGTCGGCTCAAAGGGTTTGCAAAAGGTTGAATATTTGGATAGTGAGAAAGAAAGCCTCCTTCATCCCAACCGGAGAACATTAACGCTATATAGAGGATCCAACATAGTACCTTTTTGACTGCATTTGAATTGACGGTTGTTTCTGGGACATTTCCTTCGATGTGTCCCAATTACAACGCACTCTTTTGATAATACTATTCTGCAATGTATGGATGTCACTACCCAATTTAGGATCATGACTGGCACCTAGGAGCAAGTGCCCCCAAGTAAGCCTCATCAGTATTTTACAGAAAATCGGACAGAATTTCCCCCGTTTTTGGACTATCCCAAAATTTTCCCTGTCTCAAATCAGCAATCAAACATCCTAATAGCAATTCAAATGACAATGACCTTATCAATTAACCAAAATAAATATCTACCTTTAATAGTCAACCCACCAACAACTAAAAATTCTACTTTATCTCCAAATTTGATAAGAATGAGCGATACTCAACATAAATCTATAATAACGAAGAATACTCAAGACACAAAAAGAATTTAACTATAGAGCGGCTCTAAGAGTTCAAAGAAACGGCCATAACAATAAATAAAATTGCTGCCCACGCGAACAAATGCGAGGCTCACCAGAAACTATCAACTTGTGCGTCTGACTAACGAAATCCTCGCCCTTCAACTGTTGTTTCTGGAAAAAAAATAGCGGGGAGTGAGTCGCATGCTCAGTGAGTAATAACACTTAAGCACAACCGTTTTTAATTGGGGACAAGTCAGAAAACAGTCTGCATAATAATAATTAGGAACTATTATAAAAATAAAACGCCCTTTAAAAAAAATAGTAATAATAATTAGTCTCATCATGTGTTTCGTGTAATAGAAATCAATTAAACAATTCAGTAATAGACTCGGTAAGCACTGTGTCATATCAAATCTTTATGTTTGGGAGGTTTCCAAGGAAGGATCATGTAATTTGTATCACTGTATGGACCCCTTCGTAAAAGGAGTCAAATATAACTGTATGTCCCTACTCGAGGGAAAACTGTAACTGTATGCTAGTTCTACCTTCCCACTAGCGAGGGCTATAACTGTAATCGGTAATCTGTAAATACAAGGTGCACCAAGTCTAACGAACCCCCTATTAGCTATGGGATCTTTCAAAGTCTCCTCCCATTTATACTCTTTCTTGTAAATAGTAAATATTCGTACAAAAGCATTTTCAAAATAATGAAGGACGTATCATTCCTTATCAAATCTTGTAATTTTATTTCGGTNTACGAACGCATTTTCAAAATAGTACAGGGCATTTCAGTTCTTATTAAATCATATAATCTCGTTCGGTAATAGTAATCATATCTCAAATAACAGTAAAACATGTCTAGTAACAATAAGAACATCTAAATAATTGTAAATATTTCAAGTAAACTGTTCAGTACCATATTAATAAAGGACTTGTCTCCACATGCAATTTCAAATATTCGGTAACACCTTTTATTTTCAAAAATATAGTATAAACCATGCAGGTTATAAAAATACAAATTGCGATAAGATTACTACTCACAGTACTCGTGTCGAAATATCAAACTCGTCAGCAATCCGTATGTCTTTTTGAATCACCTAAATTGCATCAATCTATGTATCAATTCCATGAACCATCAACATACCAATTCACAATAACCGACCTTTATGCTTTCTTGTTTAACTCTTAATTTGCCAAATCAGATTTTCCTACTCTACCCGAGAATACTTGTATACATTAATCATGCTCTTTAAGTCATATATAAATTTCTTAGCCTAAGGCAGAGTTACTGTAGAAGCCATATGATTCCAGATTACCTTTAAAATTTCTAGAGCTCGTTTAAGCTAATAACTAACTATGCCCTTATGGAAGTAGCTTTCTGTCACAAATTCTTCACTCAAATTGATTCATAATCTATCGATTTCAACCTTTTATATAATTTACTCGTTAAATTTTATACTAAGTTAAAAACTTGTGTGTTTGGCCCTCTTTGTGGTATATAATTAGACTATTATGTAGTTAGTGAACAAAAGAAGAAAACTTAAGAAATCTGTCGAGAAGGCTCAAATAAGGAGTTTAAATGATTACCCAAAGAATCGAAAATTATTCGAATTTGCAGATGTTGCTGACTGTTGATAACATTCTTTGCTTTACAATTTTGCAGTGTCAAACTTTTGCACTTTTTTTTTCTTTCTCCTTTGCCAAACAGGGATAACTTCACTATTTTTTATTCTCTCCAACTCGTTGAACTCCCTCAATTTTCTAATTGCTATGCTTGATCCTCATTGACAAGACCCTAATCCTTTTGGTATGCTGAAATACGCCACCTTCTTCTTGGTGGGCTTTGACCCAACTAGTTTTCAGTAATTCATTATTTGTGTATTTATCTTGTTTTCTTCTTCTTTTTCAATTAAATTCTAGCTAAAGGACAATTATACCCTTATTTTAAATATGAGGTATTACCATGAACCTTTCCAATCTGGAACCAATTTTTCTTTAGCTATTTCAAGTCTTTGCTTTATTTCCTTAAACTTATCTTCATTGCATTCTGATTCTTGATTGGTTATTTCAAGGTCTGGCAACGTTTCAGGATCTGGGCATAAAGTCCGCAAGTATGTCATGTTACTGAAATCTATATTTAACAGAACTGAAAAGAGAATAAGAAAAGTGACAAGAGTAAGAAAAGAGACATTCCTGGATAGTGAAATGTTAATTTCATTTGATATTTTTTTTTGATTTTGATGATTTATTTTTTTTGAATTTTAAAAGATAGAAGGGTTAACATCGAAAAGTAAGACAATAAAGTAAAACACCCGGATCACACCTTGAGATAATCCTAACGCAAAAAGGATAGCAAGACTGGCTACCGAAATTCCCGTCTGATAGGGGACTTTCAGGCTTGGTGATCGTTTTTTGCTTTTCTTCTGTCTCGGCAATGACAGCAATGGTCTTCAGTGCCGGATCGTATTCCCCATTATAAGCATCCAACAGATTGTTCGTCACATCAGGAGCTTCTTCGTCCCAAAGAACGATTCTTTCAGCTTCGATCAAATCTTCAATTTCTCTTTTGAGGGTCCAATAGTCATCTGTACTGTGTCCCACTGCTCCAAAGTGGTATTCACATCTAGCATCAGCTCGGTGTGAGGGAGGCTCGGGGTTTGGCCGGTTTGGGGCCACTGGCTACAACGGACCTCGTCTGACTAGCTTTTGGAACAAGCCCGAGTATGATTCACCAATAAGGGTGAACTGATTTCTTTTGAAAGGCTCTCTTGGGCGAAGATTGTACTGGGGAACATTTGATTGGGGATTATATGTAGCTTTGTAAGGATGGGCATTTCTGGGAGGTGGAGCTCGGTTTTGTGTATAATATTGTGGTCGCGTGCAAGGTTGCGCGTTCATCACCGCATACCAACAAAACCAACCGCCTGAACAGAACCTGGCTAATTTGCTCACACCACAACCTTGTTAGTTTTGAGACATTTAACATATAGGAAATCGCACGTTGGGATGCAATGCACATAACATTTAAATGCTTCTACCAAGTGTTTGAATGGTTACATGTTTCATCGAGGCCTTAACTAACCCTTTCAGTATATACCACTTTTCTCTTATTTCTCTCTCTCTTTAATCACTCTTAATTTTTTTCTTGTCATTTCGTTTCTATTGCTCTTTTATTTTTTGACACTCTCTTTTCTTTTTTCTTTTTTGTTTGTTTTTATCACTCTTTTATTTTTTGTCACTCTTTTTTTTTTCACTTTTTTCTTTTCTTTTCTTTTCTTTTTTCACACAATTTTTCTTTCTCTTTTTTTTTTCAGTTTATTTTTCACTCAATTAATTTTATGGCTATGATCGAATCCAATGGGATTGCCTACGTATCAGATCTTGCGTAGTTCGGAAAGATTGAGAATGGAGTAAATAACCTAACTTTATTTTTTTCTATTTTTTTTTATTTTTTTATAACGCTCAGACCATGAAAGCGTTTAGAATAAGAATATATANAGAAAGAAAATATTTTTGAAATTTTGAATTTTTGGTTTTGATATTTTTTTTTTGAAAGAAAGACTTCTAAAGATGAAAGAAACTAAATTTTTGGATTCTTGATTTTTTGTTTTTGAATTTTTGGGAAAAGGACTTCTAAAAAAGGTAGAAAATATTTTTTTTGGATTTTGATTGTTGCCTCTTAATTTTCGAAAAAGGGACTTTAAGAAAAAATATTTCGGATTTCTAAGTTTTTTCTTAATTTACAAAAGTACTTCTAAAGAAAAAACGAAAATATTTTTGGACTTTAATTTTTCAAAATTTTATGACATTTACGAAAGAAAGACTTCTAGAAAAATATTTTTGGATTTTTGATTCTGTTTTTTTTTTTGAATTTTTGGGAAAACTACTTCAAAATGAAAGAAACTCATATTTTGGATTTTGATTGATTTTTTTATTTTTTTTTTCCATATAAAAGACTTCGGAGAGAAGGAAACTGTTTTTTTAGTTTAAAAACATTTTTTTTGAATTTTTGGGAAAACTACTTCAAAATGAAAGAAACTCATATTTTGGATTTTGATTGATTTTTTTATTTTTTTTTTCCATATAAAAGACTTCGGAGAGAAGGAAACTGTTTTTTTAGTTTAAAAACATTTTTTTTGAATTTTCTAAGGAAACTGTCAAGACCCCAAACCACCCCGGTCGTGATGGTGCTTATCGCAGTACTAGGTAAGCCGAATCAACACAAATATCTTAAAGGCATTTGTAAATTCATTTCCAAATCAGTTATGAACATAAGTCTTGCAGTTAATTTAACAAAATACGCGGAAGAAAACCGGTACGTAAATACATCCACACTGCCCGATCATGGTGTCACTAGTCATGAGCCACTAAGATACAGTCTAGTACTGTCTACTTAATACAAGAAGAAAAGACTGAATTTAAATAACACTAAGGATTGGAAGGAGAAAGGCAGTGCTGCGAATGCCGTGCAACTACCTTGCTATCTCCGAAAATACTCAGAAGCTGCTGAAAGCTCTCACTCTGATGCTCTGGCACCTGGATCTGCACACAAGGTGCATGGAGTAACGTGAGTACACCAACTCAATAAGTAACCAAAGTAAATAAAGTCTGAGTGCAGTAACGAGCATTTAAATCATATACATAATCTAACATAAAAATCTTAATGGAAATATTAATGTCAAATCTGTAGTTCAAATTCCAAACAATTCGTAAATACTTCAGTTTCAATGAAAGTCATTAAAAATATTTGTTCAACACATTTTCAATGGATGCTTAGAATAAAGAGAGTGGAACAGTGATTTCATAAATAAGCCACTCAGGCAAGGTATCACTGTCAAGTATAGCCCCTTGGGCAAGCCTCTCAGTCACTCGTGACTCAACTCTCGTCAATCAGTACTCATACTCAGCACTCCCGCTCAATAGATATTTAAAAATAATAACCGCTGCAGCATGCAGCCCGATCCGTAATATATAGTTGATTGCGCTCACTAGGGGTTTGCAGAATCCGGAGGGGCTCCTACAGCCCAAGTGCTATATCGCTGCGGCGTGCAGCCCGATTCAACATATCGCTGCGGCGTGTAACCCTATCCATAAAATATCGATGCGGCGTGCAGCCTGATCCATAATATTTATATAATCCTCACCAACCAGCCCTTGGCCCCTCTCAGTCATCAACCTCACAACCATTCGGACATTTCAGTGAAAACTCAGGGAAACTCAGCCCAAATAACTTTCAAATATTTTAAACAGATTAATAAATCTAAATCAACAGTAAACAGGTAAAAATCATAACTGGGGACATGCTTTCGAATCAAAATAGTGTGAGCAAAATGATAAAATACCCCTGAGGGTCCAAACAGTTCGGCACAAGGCCCCAAACATGGCATTCAACCCAAATTGGTAGGTTCATTTCTGAAACACATAGATATCACATGAAGTTTATCAAAATAGATAGTTCTACAGTTGTCACGGGACGAACCGAGTCATAATCCCTATGGGTGCGCGCCCGCACGTCCGTCACCTAGCATGTGCATCATCTCATTTACCAAAACTGTACGAAAATTTGGGGTTTCATACCCTCAGGTCCAGATTTACAATCGTTACTTACCTCGAATCGAATAAAAATCTACTCCGCAATGCCTTTACCACTCGACTCGGCCCCAAATCGCCCTGAATCTATCCAAAATCAGAATCATAACATCAATATATGCTAAGGGAACAAAGACCATGCGAAAATAATCAAATTACATCAAAAATCCCGAAATTGGTCAAACCCAACCCTCGTACCCACGTCTCCTAATTTGATAAAAATAACATCACAATAATCCTTATCCTCTCACGTGTTCATACATACCAAGAACATCAAAATCAGACCTTAAATGGCCCCTCAAATCCCCAGTTTAAACTTTCAAATTTCAAGCCCTAATTCTCCAATTTTAACCCTTAAATTCTACTAATTTCATGTCTAATCAGGTAGAAATCACCATAGAATCGAGTATTGAGTTCAAAAACCTTACTGTAACGACCCGGCTGGTCGTTTTAAGAATTAACGCCCCGATCCCCTATTAACTGCTTTCCCTATGTTTTTTTCTGCTATTTTGATTTACCGTGATGCTTAGCTTTGAGTTTCGGAGAGTTTTGGGATACTTAGTCCCTAAATGATAGTTTAAGTTTTAGATATTGGACCGTAGTCGGAGAAGTGTGAAGACGGCCTCGAAATGGAATTTCGTTGGTTCAGTTAGCTCTGTTGGGTGATTTTGGGCTTACGGGCGTGTCCGGGTTGTGTTTTGGAGGTCCGTAGCTAATTTAGGCTTGAAATTCCGAAAGTTGAATTTTTGAAGTTTCCGGTTCAATAGTGAGATTTTGATATCGGGGTCGGAATGGAATTCCGGAAGTTGGAGTAGCTCCGTATTGTTGAATGTGACTTGTGTACAAAATTTCAGGTTATTCGAACGATGTTTGATAGACTTTTTGATCGAAAGCGTAGTTTGAGAGTTTTTGGAATTCTTAAGCTTGAATCCGATATAAAATTGGTGTTTTGATGTTGTTTTGAGCGTTCCGAAGATTGGAACAAGTTTGAATGATGTTTTAGGATTGGTTGGCATGTTTGGTTGAGGTCCCGACGGCCTTGGGTGTGTTTCAGATGCACAACGGCTCATTTTGGAACTTGTTGGAATTGCTGAACTGCTGGTATGTGGTTTATTTAATCGCGTTCGCGCCCTTCCCTCCGCATTCGCGTAATTTAATTTCGGATGATGATTTAATTGTTTTTCGCATTCGCATGTTTTGGCTCGCGATCGCGAAAGTCTGCGCCCTCCTACTTTGCGTTCACATACCTCTA